ATGTATGTATATGTATGGATTGATGGATGGATAATTTTCAAATTAAAATCTGCCTTTGTTAAGATCTAGAAATAAATTCATACTTACGTTGAGCAGGATAATGATTTACTACATTTTGAAATTGCTCTAACTGATTTTGTTGATCTGTGTATGGCTGGATCTCATCTGTTGTTTGTGAATTGTAGAGAAAGCATGGAATTGAAAATTGACACAATTACAATTCACTATAAGGGAAATTTTTGCATACTTACGTTGAGCAAGACCTGGATGTGAAGCATTTTGGGGATGCTCCAGTTCCAGTTGGTCTATGTCTAAATGGATCCCACCTTTTTATGAAGCATGGGTTGTCAATGTTTGTTAGAGGAAGGAAATTGAAAACCTCCTTTTTTCAATAAAAATCAAGGATATCTCATCCTGACCTCCAATTGGATGCTCATTTGCTGCATGGAGTGCCTGCTGTGAATCCACTCTTTGAGTTGTTTGTGAGCAACACACAGTAAGTAAGACTAAACTCAAAATTTTTTGATCCTTCAGAAGGGATAGCATGGCAAGATGGAGGGGTTGTAAGAAGTGTTGTTAAACCATGTGTGAGCCCTGAATAGATCTTTATTTATTTATTCAATCAAGTTCAGTACGTGGCCCAAAACCGTTTTCAACTGGTCCTGGTGGTGAAGCATATAGGGTGTTTGATAAAGTGTATAGCAAGGTACTCAAATATCAAACCGTGTTTTATGCATTTTTTGTCCAATAGATTTAATGTAAGAGTTGGATACTTTGGGGCTTTTGATGTTTGGAGACTCGCTTTTACCCAGCTTCAAGTTGTGAAGGTTCAGGGATCAAGCACAGTATGTGCTGTTTCTCTTGAATACGCAGTACGGGTGGGTCTTCCCTGCTCAAACAGCTCAAATCACGTACTGTGGGAAGGGGTTATAAAGTGTCCGGACGGCACGCTCAGGTGAAATCTTGACTACATAGGTCAAATTTCATGTATTTCAGAGTGGCCAATTGCAGTCGGCGCCCGGGACAGGTGGGAAGCAGTCCAAGAAACCCGATACTCTACAGCGTGGCCCGCAACAGACAAGTCCCAACCTGATGTGAGCTACGTTCTGTGTGTGATATTTGCGCTGGCAATGAAGCCGCCCATCCCGGTAGACCTTCTCTGTAGGGAGCGATGTTCATACTCAGCCCCACATATCCTTCAAGAGTTCCCGACCCGATCTTATCTTGCCTCATCAAGGATTACTTGAAAGTTGGCTTGCTTGGCCACCCCCTCCAGCAATGCTCAATATTGCCTCTCATCTGCCGCCGATGTGTGTGGAGGTCCTAACTAACCATCGAGAGGTCCGTGAGCTCACGTCGATGGGTAAGAATGTAACGGGGCTCTTACAGTAAGTATGGGTTAAGTAGGTTTATTTGTTGTGTTGTAACTTTTGTTCACAGTTGGTTGTAAAAGAACTTTGTATCGTATTCGATGAGGAATGATACCTCATGAGAGAGCTCCTTTTATGTCTATGTACAAGGGGATTGTGCATACATAGAATAGCAGAGAACAACGAGAATACAATAATGACGTCATGCAAAATAAGAAAAGGGTATTAATACTATTGATTTAGTATTAATACATAGTTTGAAAATACATAGAGAGACAATTTGAGGAACTGTAGTCGTAATTCCTGTTATCTCCTGCCCAGGAGTATAGGCGCACGGCTACAACTACCCCCCTCTCTAGAAACGGACCGGCCTCGGGCCGTTGCACCAGCCGGAGAATCAGACCGACGGAACCGGAACCGGAACCGGCACTTTAGCAATAGCCTTGGTCGCCCTCGCAAGATCTTTTGAAACCCTGACTTCCCGGCGATTGTCGTCTAACTGTATCGCCGGCGGAACTGACCACATTTCATTTGTGACAACAGATTGGAGGGAAACTGGCTGAAGGTGATTCCCATTCACTGGCCGTGAGTATTCCTCCCCATTGTGATCCATCAAGATATACACATTATTATCCCTAACCGCGATGACTTCAAAAGGACCGAACCAACGCGGCTGACCCTTAGTATGTGATTCGTTCCTTAGCTTAACAGAATCACCGACGCGATAAGAGATACAAGAAGAAGGGACGAGGTTGTCATCGAGCCGTTTTTTGTTAAGCGAAGCCTTCTTGTTGGCCCCTTCTAACGCCTTCACTCGTTTTGCATTCAAATCACTTATACGATTCCGCAACTGTTCTTCAGAAGCCAACACCTCACGTTTAGCGATTAGTTTGATATTATCTGAAGGAAGGCGCGGTTTGACCCCGTATAACAACTCAAAGGGCGAAAACCTGGTGTTGTCTTTGATGTGGATCCTAGTCAAATAGAGCACCGCCGGAAAATAATCCTCCCAACGCGCCGGATCCCCACTAACATTCATCCAAAACAAAGCCGCCTCCAGGATACCGTTATATCGCTCATTTTTTCCATTCGTCCGCGGATGGTAACCAGAAGTATTCAACTTTTTAATTTTACCAGCTGACAAAAACTTCAATAATCCATTTGACAAAAAATTCGAACCACGATGGTAACCAGAAGTATTCAACTTTTTAATGTTACCAGCTGACAAAAACTTCAATAATCCATTTGACAAAAAATTCAAACCACGATCAGTCAAAAATTCACGTGGCAAGCCAAAAGGCGTGATAACTTCATTAAGAATCACATCAGCAATGTTGGTCGACGTGGCCTCTTTCATAGGAACCGCGATAGGCCAACCCGTACAGTGATCAATCAAAGTCAGAACCCATTTCCAACCGTTCTTCTTAGACTCAGGCAACGAGGTAAAATCCGCCGACCAACGCTTGAACGGACCAACCAAAGGCAAAGGGACTTGTTGGTAAGTCTCCTGATTATCCCGTGGCCTCTTGTGAATCTGACATTGACCACAAGTCTTCACATAATCACACACATCCTGATAGTGCGTAGGCCACCAACCCCTTCCACGCAACAGATTCAGAGTAGCATCACGACCCCGATGCCCTGCCTGATCGTGAACCTGACGTAGCAACCGCCAACGATACGGGGACTCTACAAAAGGAAAATATTCCTCATGGCCGGGGCGCCCACTCCAAATCAACGTCTCTTCCTCCTCATCCACATCAAAAAACTCGGCCAAATCGATAGCCTTCCGGAGCAAATCTGACGCAACAGACTGAGGGACGCGACAACCCGACTTCAGATATGGCACTATCAAAGGCCAATCAGATGCTCTTAATTCATCATTAACGAACTTAATCGCCATCAAATCACTACGCCGCAACAGCGCATCAGGTAGAACATTTTCAGTACCTTTCTTATAAAGGATTTCAATATCCATTTCAGCAAACTCCTCCACCCATCGAGCTAACCTTCTAGACAGCAGTTGTTGTGTAGAAAACAAACAGTCGTAGAAACAGCACCATCAAGGTAGACACACCACTTACGGTACGCATGAATAATCGCAAACAATTCACGCTCCTGTGCCGGATAATTACACTGAGAACTATTTAATTTTTTAGATTCATATGCAACAGGATGCCACCGAAGATCATCATCTTCTTGCAACAACACCGCACCAAGAGCGAAATCTGACGCATCCGTTTCCATAACGAATGCCTTCAGTACATCTGGCATCAACAAAACAGGGGCCGATACCATAGCCTCTTTCAGAGCGACAAACGCTAATTCATGAACAGGAAGCCACAAGACCTTCTGCTTCTTAGTGACATTCCCACCAGTTAAGCCATGCAGCGGTGTGAGAACTCCTTTGGGATGGATGGCAGTCCTGCGAGGGGGAAATAGCAGTTATGATATTTCAGGTATGTATGAATTTATTACAACTGTTACGGGTGGTTTGAAAGACCTGCCCCTCTAATGTACTACACTAGAATTCTGACAACAAATTTATTTTATTGTTGTGGCAAAAAAACTGATGATGGAGAAAACTATATGTAGTAGTCTCTTATCAAACCTAGATCAACGTGGAATCAGCTGAGACTTAGTGGAATTTTGAATTGAAAGGATTTGGTGTGGTTTACAGAAGGCTGGAGTCAGATAATGGAAAGACTTGAAAAGCTGGGAGATATTTTTGTATGTTTTTATATGTTTATATGAGTGAAGTAAAGTAGATGATGATATGAGAAAAAGACTGAGAGGAAACTAATGATAAATATGAACTATTCAAAGTGTCTTTTGCCCTCCTCCTTAACCGTCAGTTAATACTTTTCATCACCGACTTGAACTGATGCCGAGAACAAAGACCGGTATCACCATCGTCAAGACAATTCAATACTTGAGGTCTAAAATCCTTCATAACCGGAACATCAGGTACGAAATCCACAATCTCACCCGACCCAGTTTTAAGAGACCAACGATTCAAAGTCCAATCGGTTTTCTCAACATTTTGGCCAATCCAATCACGCCCCAGAATCGCATCATAAGACGACAAAGGAACCAGCCGGCATAACACTTCAAACTCACAACCAACCATAATAAATCTGATTCAACACGAGAATGAACGATTAACCTGCTGGCCAAAAGCTCCAAGCACACCAAAACTCTCACAAGGGACTCGTGATAATCCCCTATCACTAGCAAAAGCTTCAGAAGCATATGAACAACTCGCACCGGTATCTAACAGGAAACGGGCTGCCCTTCCACCAACAGGTAGGAAGAAATCCACAACCAACGATTCCTTCTCCAGACAAATAGTCAACAACGACTTGGGTTTGCAACTCCCAAGTCCATCCAAAAGTGAGTCAGAAACTCCCTTCTTACTTACTTTCAAACGATTAACTCTCAACTCACATACAGATTCCCCATTAATTTGAGAAACCTCATTCACATTCAAATCCGGGGCGATCAAGCCCAAAGACACATTCACACAGTGCTCAAAAGATGCAGGAACAAAAGACGATTTCTTATTTTCAGCAGAAACGACAGAAGTACAAGCATCAACAGAAGTCGACGGACGAGACGTTGTCACGTCGACTAAGCATTTAAAGATTTGGCCTTTCCGGACGCAGCCAAAGCCTCGTATTGGCGTTGACGATCAGACTTCGGTTGGTGACACTTAGCGCTAACGTGTCCCGGCTTGCCACAATTGTAACAGTTCCTGGTCCCCTCGGTCTTCTTCTTGCCAGGCGAACCTTCCCCCAAGTCGACCTCTTTCTTCGAACCCGACGGACCAGGAAAACCTCCACGTGAACCCGAAGAACGCTTAGAAGCCTCGGCCGCAGCTTTCTTGACTCGACGATCGGTGTCCATGGCAAAAGTGGCGATCCTAGAGAAATCCATCGGAGTTCGTTGGTTCGCCTCCGCCGCCACCTGATCCTTGACCCGCAACCTCAAATCCGGCACCAAACGTTCAACAAAGCCAGTACAGGGATCATGAAGATAATTATATATCTTCGCATTAATTTGCCAGTCACGAAACCAATTATAAAAATTCTGAGCGGTCTCGTTAGGTCTCATACGGAGAGAGGCGTACTCCAACGCCACAGCAACTTTATTTGACATTTCAGGGTTGAGGTCAATCAACCAATCGGCAAAAGCATCCCAAGAACGAGGATCGCGCCCAACACGCATCACATCATTATAATCCTCTCGAGCCTTTCCGACAAGGCACCTGATCCCAACTTGATGCCAGATGCCAGGGTGGACAAAACGAACCGCCAGCTCGATCGACAACTTATTCAACCAGTTGCAAACCTCCTTGCCGTCGGTTCCACTAAAATTTGGAACAATTTCACGATTCCACCCCTTCATCACCTTAGTCACATCGGTCAGATAAACCTGAGCCGGCAACGGACCGTAGTCGGCAACATTAGGGCGAGAAAAATCCGCCGGAGGAGCCACAGAGGCAATCCCTTCACCCGTAGGAGGACCAGCATTGGCCGGCGCAAACATAGAGACACAAGGATAAGTATTGCCACGATACGTCACATGGCGAGGAGGATGTTTGACAGTATCATTACTGTCGACGTCCATTCCATCGGAATGAACAACAGCTGGCTCCTCAGAAGGAGCCACTGGGCGACCAGTAGCCACAGAAGACGACACAGCGACCTTCGAGTCTTTGAGAGCGTAATTCTCTACAAAACGTCCCTCGCCATCCTGAGGAACATCCTCGTATTCATCCTGTCCAGAGTCGTCATCCTCAGCTCCGCTCCAAAAGTCCGGGTTCTCCTCAACCCACGCCACTTGCTCAGGGGTGAGAGAATCGATTTCGTCGGTGGTGTAAGACGAACCGTTCATCGGACGGGGAGCTCCCGCGATGACCCGTGATTTACAACGGACAGTAACATTGTTGGTAGACTTAGGTGGCATGCTACCAAACGATCAGAATACACAAAAACAAATCAGCTCAACCCGCCCCAGACGTCGACTGATGATAAATCAGACACTCGGATCAAACAGAAAAAAAAATTCCGACAGGAAACACACGTACATCAAATAGAATTCAATGACAAATGACGTAACAAAAGGTTGACCGACAATGAATAATCGTAGTTAAAAACCTACAATCCACAGAGGAGAAAGACGTATGTCAACCAATCAAGTCCAATCAATATCACACAGAATCAAAAAGGACAATGCCGAATTTTTTTTTCTATTTTTTAGCTCTCGCTACCACTGTAACGGGGCTCTTACAGTAAGTATGGGTTAAGTAGGTTTATTCGTTGTGTTGTAACTTTTGTTCACAGTTGGTTTTAAAATAAATTTGTATCGTATTCGATGAGGAATGATACCTCATGAGAGAGCTCCTTTTATGTCTATGTACAAAGGGATCGTGCGTACATAGAATAGCAGAGAACAACGAGAATACAATAATGACGCCATGCAAAATACGAAAAGGGTATTAATACTATTGATTTAGTATTAATACATAGTTTGAAAATACATAGAGAGACAATTTGAGGAACTGTAGTCGTAAGTCCTGTTATCTCCTGCCCAGGAGTATAGGCGCACGGCTACAAGAAATGGATTCAAGCCCAACGGTGACATCATAATGGCGCAGGGTCCTTTCTCTCCGGCGATGATGTGCACCCGCTGGATAATATTAATAATAACAACAAGCCAGCTACATGCCGCGGATGAATTTTTATTGTCCAACTCTAAGACAATTGCAAAGAAGTAAATAGTCCAACTCAAGACTAGCTTGATTCATCCCCCATAACTGGTGCCTCCCCCTCTGCACATGTTCTAAGAGGAGAGAAAAAAGTGATGATGTGGCCATTGCCTTGGTCAGCAAGGGTATGGCCATGATAATCTCCCTTGCCCCAATGCGGCAAACTGAATTTTTATTTGACTAAGCTGATCTTGAAGTTGAAGCTTGAGCTGGGCGAGGACCATGATGGATCAAAATCACACAAAATGGTGTGAAAATTGTGCAAAACCTAGCGCATTGAACATAAAAACCTGGTTTAATCTGCAAAATGAGAGCATATATAATGGAAATGAAGGATCTCCCCCACTCCAAGAAGTATTGATGAAATTCCGTCCCATCCAACCTTGATAAAAGGGATTGAAAAACTTAAAATGAGCGCTGTTGTTTCTATAATCACTTCCTGGATCAATCCCAAGCTTCCTTTGGGTCTATTGACTGAGTGGCAATGACTTGAGTCTCAATTTTTGCCTTTTATAAGCATTAAAGGTCCAGTGAAATACTTTCATGCCTCATTAGCTTTCCATTTAAGCTTGAATTTTGAGCAATTAATGTTGGAATTATCCCAATTCGACGCTTTCCGCTGTGGGATACTTTATGGGTTCCCATCCAACAACTTCAAAAAAGGTTATATTTTCTTGTATATACAATAATATTACACCAAATATGGCTCCAGGAAGGGATTCCAGGGCCAAAATCACCCTAGAGGAGCAGGCTTGGACACATGTAACCCCCCTGTGTTGCATGTTACACCCCTCTTTCACTCACAGGTAGGGGGGTCAAGCACCCTTACATGTTACAAGGATATCAGGTACACATTTCACCCCTCCGGGCCATGTGATCTGGCATCTGTACATCTCAAGCAAGTACAATGGAAGTATGCAGGCACAGCATACAGGTTACCTTGGCAACCTGTCATGTGATGCGTACAGCCTCAAATACAGGATGACATCATGCGGCTTACAGAACACAGCCTGCAGGTTGCTAGGTTGCATAGCAACCGTTGCACAGCTTGTCAGTCCGGCGGAAACCACTCAACAACTCAAATCACATCATGTAGGCTGTACCACCAGCCAAAACCCCTCATGTATTCTTCCATCTTGGCCAAATTCCCTCCTGTAAGGCTGTACAACCAGCCAAAATCCCTCATTCCTGGCTCCCCTGGAGCCAAAATACCTCATTGTTGTCTATATAAGGAGGCCCTTCCTCCCAGTTGTAATTTCTCCCCAGCAGACTTCCTGCAGACATTTCCCCACATAACAGGCAAATCACTGCTCAATCCATAATATTATTTGTTCCCCAATATTTTGGTTTTACAATTATAACAACCCTTACATACAATATTATAACATCTTTACACATAACAACAACCCATTTTTGCACCTGTCCACCTGTTAAACAACAGAGTATCTTTTGATACACTCCACTATCACTAATTAAAAGCTGCCAATCTAAGATTGGTGGTCTTGTTTAGTGTAGTACACAGGAAAGGCAGAGGTTACCTCACACATCCCTTTCCGAACTCAGCAAAAGGTTCTCACGAACACTTTTGAGCTTAACAAGGGAGTCCCCAACGTGATAGAGGATCCTGTCGTTTGGCACGTGGATTGAAAAATCAGTGAACCACTGTAGTGAAAACTAGAGGGTATTTTTGTTAGTTTGTGTTAGTTTAGGCGGGAAATCATACCTGTCTTGACAACCTGAAAAAGCATATCTCTGAATAAGCAATTTCAGTCAGTTTATACAATAAAGTTCATATATAGACCTAGTAGGGCCGGACTAAATAATTAACTACTCAAAAAATCAATTATAAAAGTTAAGAAGACGAGGGGACCGGCTAAGCTGACGTACAAGCAGTAGGATATAGATTTTAACTACCAAGGTGGTAGCCGATAAGCTTAGTACAGAACAGACTGTAGTCTATGACAACCTCTACGCATTGGTATAATTGAAGAATAAAAAGTAGCATATTATTTAGTTTTTGATTATTAGGTTAGTAAACAATACCCTCTACCTTGCCCTGGCAAAGAAGCCAGAGACCTTAGTTTTTAGTGAAGTTAGGATTACTACTAGGAAAATATTAAAACTCATTTGATATAAAAACACTGGAAATTAGTAAAAATCGGACATGGCTTTTTCACAAAATCAAGATTTGGAAGGAGCTCTACCGACAACAAACACACCTTCAACAGGAATATTCTCGGGCAATCAACACAGTCAACACATGAATATTGACCCGCCACCACCACCACCTATGAGACATAATCGCTTACGCCATTATAGGACTTATGGGAACAACGGAAATACTCAATCATCAGACAACCCGAACGGAACCGGAAACACCCAAGGAGGAACATTGCAAATGGAACCTACGACGTACCACCGGAAACTAACGAACCTCAAGAAATGGACGAACCAAGGCCGCGACCTGCGGTCATCATTAAGGAACCCGACTTGAAATACGATGGCGAACAGTTCGAGGATTTTTTTGCAACGATTCGAGCTGGCAGCAGAGATATACGGCGCGGGCGGCTTTGATAAAGCACGCCAGGTGTGTAGATTTGTTCGAGGTGAAGAATTGAAGAAGGAACTGGAATCGATGGATGGATATGACACCCGCAACTGGACAGTCTTGCGAGCAAGCATGATAGAACTTTGGGGCGGTTCAGTGAAAAAGATCCGGTACACAATCAGGGACCTTTATAATTTGATCGATTTCTGCCAAAGAAAGGGAGGAATTAAGACAATTAATGACTTCAAAACATATCAATCTAAGTTTATGATGTAAACAAAGTATTTGGTCAGAAATGAACATATTATCAACGAAACGGCTGTCTCTCACCTTTTCTTCTTAGCCTTTTCAGTTGACATACAAACAAGCATCAATAGAGAGCTAGTCAAAGCAGATCTCATTCCAACTGGGAAGGATGGGTACAACAAGCCACCTCTTCTGATGGATGTGATTGATGTAGCAGAGGATGAAATTTGAGCCAGATCCATCAATGCATTTGCAGCAAGTGGGTTTGCCGAAGCCAATTCTATGATGCAGAAAACTATAGATCAAAAGAAAGGTGATGGAAAAAAGCGTGAGAAGATGGTGGAGGAAAACTCTCCAGAAGTATTGCAGAAGCAGGTGGATAACCTGGCCAAAGCAATAGAAACACTTACTGGAAAGTTGGACAACCAACCAAAAGCAGAATATTCTCGAGGCAACGAGCGACCAACTGGACGACTTTACGAACCTCGACCATGCTGGTATTGCCATAGAGAGGGTCACTCAACACAATCATGTTACGAAGCCCAGAAAGATGAGAAAGCGGGGCTTGTCAAACGCGATGGCCGCGACTTCTGTCTTCCAAATGGTGAGAAGATCCCATGGGATGCATCTAGACCTATTAGGGTTGTAGTGGCTGCGGACTCCGCAAAGCCAAAGCCGACTATAAATGCTGTTTACAAGACAGATAACCCAGCGGTTTTTTCCTCATCACTACCAACACCACCTACGTGTAGTGAACTTGAGTACATCTCATCATTACACAGGATTGATTGGGATCCACCAAAATTAGGCGCAGTTAACTTTGAAAAAGTCAGACTTGAGGCCAATATAGCTACTACCCGAGCAGAAGCGCTTCGTGGACGAAGGAAACCACCGGCGGAAAACGAGGACACAGCGATGGACTTGGATCAAATCGATGAACTAGAAGAAATAGTACGGGACGTACCGGCAGCTCGGAAGACACCTGGTCAAATGTCCGACTCTCAAGGGAAAACAAATGCCCAAAAAGGGGAAAGGACGACCGAATCAGCCTTGGTCTCGGAATTGGACAACTTAAAAATACCAACCACTTTTTCGCAACTAACCTCGATTTCACCAACCTACGCTCAAGAAGTGATCAAGAAACTTCAGAAACGAATTCCGGAACACAAGAACTCGAAATTAACCTACGTCAAGGACACGAAAACGGACCCCAAGGTATCAGCATCTATGTTGTTAAACCAGGATGAAGAAGATCGGGAATATAATTGTTTCTACAGTTGCGCTTTGGGATACATTGATACTCATATTGCTGGGAGGAAGATACCATTCATGGTTGATTCCGGCTCTATGGTCAATGTTATCCCAAGACAAGCTGCAATTGATCTCGACTTGGAAGTTGTGGAA